GAGTTTAGGGGGGCTTTAAAACATTTTAGGGGGGCTCCAGCCCCCCCTAAAATAGGCCTAGTGACGCCACTGATGTGGCACATTCCTTCTAGAAATCAATTTGCTGCTCAATAAAAATAAATTGTTCAAAATATTTACGCATCAATTTGTGTGTGAGTTGTTTTTCAATGCTCACTTGCAACAAATCATCCCAGTATGTTAGTATGGTTTATGGGTTTTACATGTCCGCTTCAAAACTCCAGTCCCAGCAAACCACATTTTATGAGCGTGTATTGGAATATTTGTATGTGTGCACGCCTAYGGCCACTTTCAGCACGATGCAGCGTGCCTTTTTGAGTATGCAGGCCTGCAGCCTCCACCCCTGCCAGTGCAGCTCAACGCCAATATCCATCATTGCCCTCTCCGTTTGCCGCTTTCATCATCCCCTTTTTATGTGCTCACGCCTGCCGTGCCGTTGGCTTAATTAGGCCACCGCTTCTCGCAGGGGTCAAGCGGACAACACGGCCATCACAAGCTGGAGTGCGAAGGAGGTGAAAGGTGCGCTGAGGTCTGAGATGATCTCTCCTCCTTCAGCACGCAGCACTTATGGCAGCTGCATTGATGCTGTGATTTAAACACAAAGTTTTATCCACGACTCTTTTCTCTTTTTTTTGCAGATTYCTCGCCCTTCACCGGCTGCAGAGTAATCAGATGTGTTTCTACTGTTTTACTCAACCCGAGCATGCATTTCCAGATTTTTTTTTTTAAAGAAAACTCTGTCAGCTTCAGAGATGATGAAGAAGGAAACCTACCTGTTGGAAGGGCATTCGGAGGGCACCCATGTTGACATACGGAGCTACTCTGCATGCATCCAGRTGACTGCCGCTGCCCAGGATGACACCTGGAGAGAAGGGAAAGATGTCTGTCAGACAGCCAGACAGGTGTTGTTATGTGAGATGGGGAGTTTTTTTCAGCCAAAATATTTCGACAGTAATAAGTAACATTAAGAAATGTGGTTCAGAATAGGTGGAGGACGAGAGTTTTACCTTTGTGCATTTGGTTTTCTTGTTTTCGACATTTCGCTCTTCTGTTCTGAAACCACACCTGTGACAAAACATAAAAATAATGTTAAAAATGAAAGTTCTTCTGAAAATTAATTTAAAATGAATAGACACAACAAAGTGTTTTGAAGATGTACTTTGTTAAACACTGAACAGCGTTGGAAACTCCTCATTCATTGCACTGCTGCAGCCTTGACTCCTTTTATTTTTATTAGTTTTACTGTTATTKATTATAGTTTAAAAAATGGAATATGTTTTCTGTTTTCTATGTTAGATGTGTCAGATATGAAAACAACTTTATTAATGTTGTCTCCAAGGCAGGGGTTCTCAAACCTTTTGAGTCTGGGGACCCCTTACAAGTGTGAAACCTTTCCAAGGACCCCCTCATAAACCCCATGCTGTTTTAGTAATAATTTACTGTCATTTTAACCCCTAAATACTAGGAGAATATTCTTTTTTGTTTGGTTTAGTATATTTGCTTTACTTGTGCATTGCTCCCTATATTCATTTTTCAAATAAAATTCAAAATAATTTATTKAAATTTTTTGGAGGACCCCCAAGATAGGGCTCGTGGAGCCCTCCTGGGACCCCATTTTGAGAACCTCTGCTCCAAGKTATTATTTCAAAGACAGCAGGAAATAACTTTATGGTGTAAAGATCATAATAATTATATGAAGGTGGTTTTACTTTTTCTGTTGCTGCAAGTTTGTTTACCTCCAAATATTCAAACCGCTGAGACTTTTGAGTTTTTAAACTCTCTGCTGAAGATTTGTTTTTCTTTAACTTTTCAGAGATTGAAACCCAAATTGAGGAGATTAAGGGTTTTTTTATTTTTTTAAGATTTAATTTCTTCTTTTGTCTCTTTTATTTTAGTATTTTTTCACTGTTGTATTTTAAAATTTTGTGTGACTAAACAGTAAATGCCTTCTTTTGTTTTTAATAAATGTGCCATATACATTAGAAAGCCTAAGCGGAAAAAAAAATATCTTATTC